CGTGGATGCACCCACAACGTTATCGGGTGGTGCCTTTTCGGAGCGCCAAGAAAGTGGTGTGTAGGTAAGCAACACGACGGGTGAGGATGTCTTCGAGTTCCTCCGAGGACGATGGCACCACAGTAAGGTGTTCAGAGGATAATCCGGTACCACTGTTGCCTCCATCCAGCTCATGAATAAGCCAGGCCTCCTGTTTGCGTGTCTGTAAGAGATTCGCCACCACCGCATGTGTCTGATAGCGCTTAAAAGCCGCTTTGGCTCGGTCCAGGACGAGTGAAGTGTCTGTCTCCAGCTAGGGGGTAAAAATATACATTGAATTATGCAGTGGAATCATGTGTAGCAAACAAGCTTGCTTGGTCGCGTCGCTTTTATCCGTTCGATGTTGTCTGTGGTCTTGGTTAGATGCGAGCCAAGAAGCACGATTCTTCTACGTGCCATCACCATTTCTTACCGAGTAAGAAAACCCCAATTTTCTCTGGTTTCATCCTCTCTTCCAAATGTCCGACTTGACTCATAGTTGATATTGAGGTTGTCCAATGCTCATACAGAGAAAATATGGGCCAATCTTGCAAAAATAGAAGTAAAAACAAGTACCAAAATTCCTTTCGACTGATATAGTAGGCTCCTTAACAATTTCCCTTTGTCCACCTTCCAGTTCTGTTGCATCGAGTGAGTGAATTTATGTCGTAATTGTTGCTTGCTCTTCAGCAAGCGGAAATTGGTAGTGTATAACTGGATTTGCAGTCCACTTCAAATAAGAATAATCCCGGAGACTAAAGTTATGTGGGTCCTAAAAACTTACCATCGTATGCCCTTCACTAAAACCTTTGGCCAGTGGAGCACTTTTCATTGTGCAGGTGAGGGGATTGGGGAGAACGCTAATCCACGAGCCCAATCATCACAGCCAATGTGTAACGTAGCTTTTTTTGCATGTTATAACTGAAAACGCAATCGCCAATAACTTCTCTTATTATCAAATAGTTGGATAGTAAATTGCACGAAACAGCAGCCGCAATTGGTAAGCACACCTTGAAAGAGACCACCATCGCGGAAGTAACCCACTTTGTAGAGATGAGACCGAGAACCTTGGGAACCGGCGAAAGGTGTATTGTAAGAGAACCATCAGTGCCATATTGGATGTTATCGCTGCTGGTCCGATTGGAAGTTAAACCGGCGTGCAATTTGTGTTGTGGCAGATGATCGTGTGGAATGAAGAAGTCGGAGACGGCTGCGGCAAGAAAGAGCAGTGTACCTTGACGACACAAATCACCTTGATTGAACAGGAAACATATCCAGCGAAGCTTCACTAGGTAATCCTCAACCGTTGTGAAGTCGAGGAGTAGGAGACGGTCTCCTGAAAGAAAAATGAACTTGCTTGGGCGGCAAACTGATGTCAAAAAACGATTTAATCGAGGAATAAACTCACGGAATTTGATGTAGCTTTGAAGAACATCACATATTGTCTGAGTGAACG